TTATTTATTTTATGCCCATAATTTTTTTGAATTGTCTATTTTTGTTATTGTTTGTGTTAAAAAATACATATTTTTGTACTGATAAGCCTGAGTGGTCTGTTGACTTTTGTATTTGTTCAAATAATTGTTATGGGCAGGTTACAATAAAAAAATATTTGTCATAATCATGTCTTTTGATTATTTGACAGGAGTTTTACTTTTAAACTGTAAGTGTATTTAATTCAGTTGTGTTAGTTATGATGTAAATACAATGAAAATTAAACTAAGATTTATAATAATTATCATTTTGATCCATACATTGGTAATGTCTGACTGGGTCTCGTGCCACTTTATGTTCAATAAATTGGCCCCGAGGTCAAAAAGGTTAAGAACCCCTGGATTAGATGCCACAAAGAAAAACAGATGCTCTCAGATTATCTAGGACAACAAATGACTGCGAGCTCCGAGTCGACGGCGGCACCTTTCTTGGAGGCGGTCCGTGAAGAGGGGCTGAAGAACTTCTTGACGGTGGTCACTTTACGCGTCTTCTCGTTGGTTTTTTTCTCCTCAAACTTGGAGAAGGGGCCGAGGGAGGCGTGTCCCGGGTTCTGCTGCGCCGCCGCCGACTGGGAGTGCGCTCCTTGACTGCTGGCATACGCTGCCTCCTCTTCTCGCTGCAACCTGGACCCAGGTAAAGTCAGTGTTTAGATACAGTAACATTAGGAAGTCAGGTGACTCTTTTGATGATATTTCCCAGTCTGAATACGCTCTCACTTCTCTGCCAGGGCCCAGTCATCCTGGATCTGCTTCTGCCGCACACGCTGGTACTCCTCCCTCCAGCACTTGGAGCACAGGCCCTGCCACGCTGCGTTTCCATAATAACCGCATCCCTTTTTGCACAGCAGGTCCGACTGGTCCACGTGAATGCCCCGCCGCTCTGTCCGCTGACTCATGATGGCCTGGGATGAAAGACGAGACGTTTGATTTATTACAAAGACATGGTCTTTTCTTCCTGTTAGGATGGAGTCGTTCCTCTCCACTGTCTCCTCTGAGCTGCTCAGGACAGGACACTGTGATGAAGTGACCCTTTACAACATATGTGAAGGTTTATATTCTCCTGACATGACCTATTGTAAATTAGCTCTATGCAAACAAACAGAATTAAATTTGTATTTTAATGTGTTTAAGTAGCTTTTTCAACTGAACCCAAACAAGAAGGTAATAAATCTACTGATTTAATTATTTCCATCCTACATTTTCTAAAGAAATAAACAGATTTGAGCCTCTTTCCTGCTTTAAAGGAGGGTTTTATAAAAATGTTATTGCCTCCAGGTTCCAGCTCCGGAAGTGTCAGCAGACACACTGATGGGTGACATTTTATTACTAAAATACTTCCTTTATGTTTAATAACAGGTGTAAGAGCATAAAGTCAAAGGTTTACAGTCGATCTGGACACTAAAGACCACTTTAAGCGATTTATTTTGTTTTCAGACATATTGAATCATAAAGGCTGCGCTCTTGCTTTTAGTGCAGACACGATATAGTTTTAAGTATATTTAAAATAGTCCAGTGTTCAGTCTTCATTCATGCTGGAGGTCAGGTAGCAGCTAACAGATGTTAGCTTGGTTTTACGAGCTTTTCGTGGTGAAATAACGGAGCCGGGATGAATGAGTCTGATCGTTTTTAGTTTACATTGTTTGAAAGGTTATGAAGCCGCAGCGCTGCTTTCATACTCACCTGTTTTCACCGATCATTTAGCAGGAACAACAAACCCCTGTCCTCCGCTTCCTCTGCGTCGCTACGTCAAATTTGTGACGTCATCACGCTGGAACYGTGCTTGAGCGTCAGCAGCTGGAGGGCAATACTTTCCAAGCCGAACAGCTGTTTACAGTCATAATTGTTTTGGAAATTTTTGAAAAAAAAATCAGTTTAGCTTGCTAACTTTAGCAAGGACATATATATATACGTATATATATGTATATATATGTATATATACGTATATATATATG